TGGAATTCAAACTTGGGAAGATTTTGGTTGAAGCCACAGCTGCTGAGCTTCAGACAGCAGACTCTCTCTAGAGTCAAAGCGACATCTGGTGGCCGAGGGATAAAATTCTATGCAGGAAGAAGCTGTGTTGAGGAGGCTGAGGAGGCTGGCATGTTTCAGCACGCACGGTGCTGGTGGCTGGCTTTGAGGGCAGTGTCCTTGTGCCGACTGTGTCTGAGCCCTTGTGGGGTTGTGGGATACTTGTTCCTGTTCATGGATCCCACCAAGAGGCTATACAGGTGGTAGCAAGAAACACTGCCTGGGCTTGTTAAGTAATAATGATGATAATAATAATAATAATAATAGTAATAATAATAATAATAATAATAATAATAATAATAATAATAATAATAATAATAATAATAGTAATAATGATAGAACAAGAGCTAGGCAGAGTGGCACACACCTGCTTGAGAGGCAGAGACAGGAGGATGGCTTCAGCGCAGGAATACCAGGCCAGCCTGATCAACTTTAGACCCTGTCTCCAAATAAATTAATAATAATAATGATGATAGCAGCAGCAACAACACCACCACCACACTGGGCATGGTAACACATGCCTGTAATCCCAGGAGGTTGAGGCAGGAGAGGATCACCTCAAGTTTGAGGCCAGTGAGTTTAAGAGCGTACTGAGTTGAAGGACAGCCTGAACTACATAATAAGACCCTGTCTCAAAAAAACAAAAACAAACAACTCCTCCAAATAATAATAATAATAATAATAATGATGATGATAGCCCAACCTTCTGTGTCTGTTTTCTTCCTCTCTATTTAAATGTTTATGAAATATCATTGCAATGAAACTTACTACAGGAACAGCTTTTTAAAAATGATTTGGAAAACAGATAGTCACCTTGACAAGTTTCCTTTGTAAGAAAAAAATTTTTTTTTGTCTTTTTTGAGACAGGGTCTTGCTATGCAATTCAGGCTGGCCTTCATTTCACTTTATAGCCCAGGTTGGTCTTGAGCTCACAAAGATCCTCCTGCCTCAGCCTCCTTAGTGCTGGGATTACAGGTGTGCACCACCATGCCCAGCTTTAAAAAAATTATTTTATTAGTACATTTTTTTTGAATTTTTATGGTCATTAGTACATGTTTGCAGGAAGATTGCACTTCTCATGGGGAGTTGATCCATATGCACAACATGTCAGTTCTTTTCATTTCCCTCCCCTCCCCCAATGTAATTTTGATAGAATATTTTTCTATTGATGGACATTTACCACTTATGACATTCATACATACGGTTCACCTGTGAGCAGATAAATAATTCCACTGTGTGAGCTTCACAGGTCCGAAGTACGGGGATGGTGATGCATGACTGTGATCTCAGCCCACTGGGAGGCTGAGGCAGAAGGATGCTAAGTTTGAGCCCAGTCTGAGCAACTTAGTGACTTAGGGAGACCCTACCTCAAAATAAAAAATAAAAGAGAACTAGGGATATAGCTCAGTGTGAAGGCCCCGGGGTTAATCCCTAATACTGAAAAAGAAAAATATCTGCAGGCAGATCTTGTTATTCGCTCCCCCGCCCCCGAAAAGACATAGAGAAGGGAAAAAAAACTTTTCTGTTTTTTGAGAAGAAAAACTTTGAATGCCAAGGAAGGAGGCCAAGGCAAAGTCAGACAGGGCGGGCAGCCTGGCGCTGAGAGCCACGGCGCCATCTCTGTCCTCCCGATATCTGAGAAGCCCGAGCGCTGCTAAGTGGAACAGCTCCTGGCGCGGGCTTTGTCGGCAGCAAGGGGCCTTTTGAAGAATTCTCTCCTCGCGAACCTTCTCAGCAGGCGTGGACCGCTTTTGAACTGTGTACTACAGAACTAGGGCTCACTTGTCCTGCTTTTTGAAGCATTTTGTGCGCAGATGCTCTTTAGGTTTCTAAGAAAATCTGTTAACAAACGGGTCACTCCTCAGCACCCGCTCCATGGCCGTCTCCGGGGCTAAGGAGGCCAAAGATATACCGGGGCGCAATGTCCCTGAACCCTCTGACGGGGCCTCCTTGACCCAGATGCGAGGCCTGAGGGGCTCTGCGAGACGAGGGGAAAGAGGAGCGCTTAGGCGCCGGCCAGCTGATCGGCCTGGCCACATGCAGTGTTCCCCTCTCTAGGCCACGCTAGCCAGAACAGGCTTGGTGGCCTCTGTGGCCTTTGACTCTCCAGTTCCACCACACCTAGACCTCGACGCGCATGGTGAGAGCAGCAGAGGAGAGACGAAACTTGTGATGTTAAAACATAGCATCTTTCTTCAAAGCTGGGAGTAGGCCAGGCATAGTGGCGCATGCGTGTAATCTCAGCACTCTGGAGGCTGAGGCAGGAGGATTGCTGTCAGTTTGAGGCCAGCCTGGGCTACAAAGTGAGCTCAAGGTCA